CTTTTTTTTTCTATTTGTTTATTTATTTATTTATTTGTTCATATAATTGTTTTTTTTTTCTTTTTAATTTTGTATTCACTTATTTTTATATACTCAACAAAATTAGATAATTAAAACGCAGATAAGATAAGTAATTAAAAAAAAGACCATTGATGTACATTAAAAATAAACAGAGTTAGATATATTCTAATGGTTTTAAATTTTCTAATGTAAAAAATATATAAATAGTTTCCAAGGTTAATATGATTTGTCAATTCTTGTTACACTTAACATCATATGTGTATACTTTAATGGATTTTATTTTGTACGTATACATATACATAATTGAATTCATAGTAAGGAATATTATTATGCAATTTGTTTCAAATGTCACACATGGTTTTTGTATTTTCATTGTTTTAATATATTAATCCTTTTAAAGATAAAAATAATAAATGATCTCCTTGAAACAACAATGATTTTTTTTAGATTGTTTCTTTTCTTTTTTTTTCTTCCCCATCCCAAAATATTTGCCAAATATTAAATATAATAATAATAATAGATGATATTGTAACAAATTAAACAAAAAAAAAAAATATTTACTATAATACTTAATAATATTAAATATATTTAAATAATCCTTAATGATATTAAATCTATTTAAATAATCCTTAATGTTATTAAATATATTTAAATAATCCTTAATAATATTAAATGTTATTTGAATTTATCCGTTCTTAAGATACAAAAAGAAAAAAATGTATGAACTGAAAAAAATTTTTTAATATTAAATATGACATATATATATATATATATATATATATATATATACAGCTTGGAGATGAGAAATATTAGAAATATTATTTTGAAAGATAACAGAGTATAAAGTTCAGTCTTCGAAGATATATCGAAAATTCTTCCATATACATAGACATCTAGAGAATTTCTACTTTCTAAGCACGTTCCTAAAGAAATATTTCTTTTAGTTGTTAGACCGAAAGCCAACGAAAAAGAAAAGTTTTTCACATGTTGTGTTATAGAAACGATAATTCTAAACGTTCTAAAGGGAAGTTGACCTTTGTCCTATAGAAAATTTTATATAAAATCATCACATAGTAAATATAAATGTTAAATGTGCTGATCATACGAGGAAATGTTATATATATATATATAACATATAATAGAATTTATATTTTACGTCATTCTATTATATATTTTTTTTTAAATGATTCATTTTTTGTTTCATGTCAAATATGAAAATATATCTAGGTACTATAAGATTTCTTTTTCCTTTTTTTTTCCCTCTCTCCTTTTTTCCCCCCCTTCTTTTTTTCTTTTTTTTTTTTTTTGTTCACATACGTGCACACGCAATGGATCATTTACAATTTGGCATTATATGAACGAACGAACGAATTGGTATGATCGTCAACAGAGATCAATGGCCTCCGCTTCGTATAACGTGTTCAAACCAGCACACCGTCTGTATATTCCAAACTAGTACCGTTGGATGTACAGTCAATGTCAATAATTATGTCATGTTTCTATATTTCTTAAGATCTTTCTTAGAGATGTTTTTATAAATAGATAAGAAAGTTTAAAATAGTACAACACTTTCGTCTAATAAATAATTTATTTTGAGAAAAATATAAATTAACATTCAAATACTTGTTACTTAAATAGAAGATACGAGCGTTAACACGATAATACAATCAACATAATTTTCGATTACATAATTAATTACACGGATCTTTCATTTTTTTGTAGATAATACATGATTATAACCATTCATACGAGCATACATAGAAATGTCTTTTTCTTTTTTTTTTTTTTTATTTATTTATTCTTCTAACTCTTGTATTTCCTCTTCTTCTTCTTCTTCTTCTATTTCTTTTCCTTCTTCTTCGGCATCTCGTTTGAATCTGAAGCCACCATTTATTCCAAAGGAAGGTTCCAATCGTCCTCGTCCACCTGGTTGAACTTGACCACGTCCATTGATAAAGCCATTTCCAAATTCGCGTTCATAAACAACTCCAGCGTGTGGCCTTAGTCGATCTCCTTGCGTATAATGACCACCTCCGTAAACATTGGTGTGCTCGTTCAGTTTTTGTTGGTATTCCAGATTTAGAGTAGCACGTTGATCAGGTCCGCTCAATGGTTTTTCACCTCGGAGAACAACTGATCCCTGTGGATCAGCTTCGCGGCGAAATCTGAAGCCACCATTTATTCCAAAAGAAGGTTCCAATCGTCCTCGTGCTCCTGGTTGAACTTGACCACGTCCATTGATAAAGCCATTTCCAAATTCGCGTTCATAAACAACTCCAGCGTGTGGCCTTACTCGATCTCCTTGCATATAGTGTCCACCTCCGTATACGCTAGTGTGGTCGTTCAATTTTCGCTGTAATTCTAGATTGATTGTAGCACGTCGATCGGGTCCGCTCAATGGTTTTTCACCACGGAGGACAACTGATCCCTGTGGATCAGCTTCGCGGCGAAATCTGAAGCCACCATTTATTCCAAAGGAAGGTTCCAATCGTCCTCGTGCTCCTGGTTGAACTTGACCACGTCCATTGATAAAGCCATTTCCAAATTCGCGTTCATAAACAACTCCAGCGTGTGGCCTTACTCGATCTCCTTGCATATAGTGTCCACCTCCGTATACGCTAGTATGCTCGTTCAATTTTCGCTGTAATTCTAGATTGATCGTAGCACGTTGATCAGGTCCGCTCAATGGTTTTTCACCTCGGAGAACAACTGATCCCTGTGGATCAGCTTCGCGGCGAAATCTGAAGCCACCATTTATTCCAAAGGAAGGTTCCAATCGTCCTCGTGCTCCTGGTTGAACTTGACCACGTCCATTGATAAAGCCATTTCCAAATTTGCGTTCATAAACAACTCCAGCGTGTGGTCTTACTCGATCTCCTTGCATATAGTGTCCACCTCCGTACACGCTAGTGTGGTCGTTTAGTTTTCGCTGTAATTCTAGATTGATCGTAGCACGTCGATCGGGTCCGCTCAATGGTTTTTCACCGCGTAAGACAACTGATCCTTTAGGTTCTTCTCCACGGCGGAAACGATGATTCTACATATGATAGAACAATTCATTTAGACGCATGGCCAATAAATTCTTTAATCGAAATAAGTTATTCGTTCTTTCTATAACTCAATTTTTTTTTCTTTTTTTTTTTTTTTTTCATTTGAAAGTTATAGTATTTCTTGTAGTAATGTAGTTTTACTAGTATGAACTATTAACTTAAAGCATGTATATTATTAAAATAATATTCGAATATTTTCATTTTGTAAAATAACAATAAATGTGATTACGATAAAATGAAATCGAACTTAGAAAATCACTATATAAATAAATATATATCGTATAAAAGTGTAAATAAAAAATTATATAGAACTATAGAAGGATTAAAATATTTTTATCGGATATACAAATTTATTATCATTGATACTTACCAATATTGGATCATCTTCTGCAGTTGTATATGCAATCGCTGACGATGCGATTAAAAATATTATTAGGAACTTCATAATGAGCGAAAAGATCTTAGTTAATAGTAATATAAACGAGTTAAAGCAGAGATATGATGAATATATTTCTTTAAGACTTCGTTGAGCGTTCTGTGTTATCGTCGACGAAGTATTCCTCTTATATACTAATTCCTATCGTGCATAAGGTAACACGTATGTTTTCCTCTCGCTTTATTTGCCATAATCGCAAGGGATTCCCGGGAAGTTCCCTATTGAAAAGTTTGGTACATCCCGGTTTTGTAATTCTGAGATAGAAAGTATTAATGTGACTGGATAAATTGTATCAGTAAGACGGGAGGAAGATAATTACGCATATCATAGTTCGTAAAGTTCATTATTCGATTTTATTAAATCGTTATTCCATGATATGCAAATTAATATTTTATTGTGTCATGGATTAAAGTTCATTTCGATCAATTGATTTAATCATCTCTCGTTAAAAAATATTTTCTTTTAAATATATATATATATATATATATATATATATTAAATATTAATATACAATTTAATAATAATGTAATCTTTTAATTATTAAATAATTAAATTAGAATACATATGTGAAAGTGTTACAAAGTATATATTACAGTCGTGTTGGTATTTCTGCTGACACGCTTGAATTTTTTGATCTGATTCTATAATTAAAAAAAAAAAAAAAAAAGAGAAAAAAAAGCCCCATATGTATTCGTTCCTATTGTCTTTTGTTTATATTTTATTTTAATCATGTCTCAGTATATCGTTAAGTATTGAAACAAAAACGAATGCACCGATAGTAATTATAATAAATTTATTAAGTTATATTCCTAAGTTGGTCAATCGGGAAATAATTTAAAGATTTTTTTTTTTTTTTTTGTCAAAAAATAGATAATACCGGGAATATTAATAATGCCGAAAATGGCGTCAAGATTGTGAAATTTATTAAAAGATAAAGCTATTTTTTGCAACAAAAAGAAAAAAAACAAAAACAAAAGAAAAGGAAAGAAAAAAGAAAAGAAAAGAGCCATTTATAAGTGTTAGAGAAATAAAAGAAAATTTAGAGCTTCATATAAAGATTATACACTTATTATAATAAACCCATTGAATTTCGGAAGCCCCGTAATTTGGAGTGATTAGTTTAAATTTGAATTACGATCGTACAGACGAAGAAAATACATAGGGAGGAAGGATGAATAAGCTTTTTTTAAAAACAAAAAACAAACATTATTTTTATTTCCACAGTATAATGTGGCGGTAGATCTATAATGATATGGAATTGTTTTAATAATGAACGATTGTTAATGCTATTTTGTAATAGCTGAAAAATACATAAATACATTGCAACGATATTTATTTCCGTCAATTCGAAAAAAGTTCGAAGAAGTCCAAATTCGAAAATATATATTAATAAATTTTAAAAAGAAATTAACATATAACTGTTTCCTTCTTGGCCAATTCAAAGTTCTGATTTAAATTCAATTGAGCATTTGTAAGACGAACTCGATCGAAAATTATCTTTATGAGGAACGATACATTACATTAAAATTCGTAATGGTTCTAAAATAGCACGAAGTGAGATAACGTCAGACATATTAAAAAAAATATCTATATTAAGTATACCAAATCATTTATCAGAAGTAATAAAAGTTAAAGGTTATTATTACTTCTTATTAATTATTGTATTATTATAATTAAAAAGAATAAATTTAATAATAAATTAAAAAAGTCAACTTAATTTTCGACAGACAGTATAATTCGAAAATATTCAACAATTTTGTTAACAAGCCGATACATATAATAATAATAATATTTGCCATAATATTATTTTAAGAGATTATTAAATATATTCTGGTTATTATTTAGGATTTTCTTTATTTTTATCATATCTTTTCATCATTTTATATATATAAAATATATATATATATGTATATAATGTATATTGATGATATACATTATATATATATATATATATATATATATATATATATATATATAATGTATATCAATGATATTTTTCATTAAAAAAATTACACGCATACGTGTAAAGGCGCCTTTACTTATTCAAACATTAAATTACTGTTAATTATATATGTATGTATACATATATATATATATACATGTATATATATACACATATAACGTATGTATATATACAAATGTGAATAATAGCAAACAATCGTTTTTTTAAAGGTGTCAGATAAAAACAATTAAAATATGCCATATAATCGTATCCATTGTTTTAAACGTAACACTACGTGACACTACGCAACACTATTGCATTTCATTTGCCATACTTATCATTATATAGAGAACAATAGTCACGATCGATGTCTAAAAATTACCATTTAAACAATGCATATTTTTCTGGTATAACAATAACAAGAACTGAAGATAACAGTAGCAAATTAAAATGGGGAAGAACAGAAGAAAATACTTTCATCTTTAGATATTTTCTTATCATTAAATAAAGCTATGTATGCATGTAATTTCTCATATTTCGTCAGTATAAAGTTTGAAGTTTTTTTTTTATAACAGATAACAGCTGATTAATGTTAGATCTAGTAAATCCCCAGTGCAAATAACTGATATTTCCTATTTTATTTATCATCTTAATTTTTTTATGGTTTTATCTTATTAGTATAAAAAAAAAAAAATATGTGTGTGTATGTATATATATATATATATATGTTCAAATGTACAAACACATACATATATATATATATATTTTCTATACCTAGGGAAATTTATATATTATCTAAAATATAAATAAATAAAATATAATAAATTTATATATTATATGAAATATAAATTTATATATTATATAAAATATAAATTTATATATTATATAAATATATATATATATATATATATATATATATATATATATATATAATTTAATGTTTATATTTTTTTCCACAGATTAATTTCCTCATAACACAATTTATTGCATTGATGCTGGCTGGATTATTGAGATCATATCTTAGTCATAAGATAGTAGGGCCAGCTGTCAGACATTATTTTGGTCTTACGATAGGTCTCGCACTCGGATACTTCTGTTTCGGCAGGTAAAGATAAATTTTATTTATATTAAATAAATAATCGAAAGTCGATATATTATCTATATTAAAAGTTTCATGATATAAAATTAAATTTTTGTCTAATCTTCTTATATTTTTCTAATATTTTTTAGACAGGCAATACATTTGGTGGGTCTATCCTCATTTTGTTATATCGCGATGAGAGTACAAAATCCAATTTGTATGCAAAGGTAATATTATTTATATATATATTTATATTATTTATATAAAATGTTTTTAAACTCGTTCCCAGGATTTTTTATGCGTCGAGAATTATCGAATAAAATAAATAACAATAATAAATGAATAATTATTTATATAGGTATTAGTTCTTGTATCTCTATGAGAATGAACTTCATACTTCATACTTCATACTTTTTCGATAATAATGTCGCTTACGAGTGCTATTTATCTATATATCACTAAGATATATTTATTTAACTTTGGTGATTCACAATTGAGGGGTTATAAAAAAAATTTTCATACCGATAGATGGTGCTAGCAAGGGACATTACCGACACGGTATAAAGGGTTGCCCAATCATAGGCGCGACATACTTTTTTTTTTTTTTTTTTTTTTTTTTTTTAAGATGATTTATAAACAAAATAATAAAAATAAATTAATTTTTTTTTTTTTTTTTTTACAAATCTTACAAATATTTTTGGTATAATAATAAAATTCAATTGATTAAGTTTAACTAATTAATAATGAATATATATATATATATATATATTTTAGGTCTGTTCTTATCGTTGCGTTAGCATATTTGTCTACTATTCATGTACACAGACAACTCTACGGTTATGGGATGTATACTCTAGACATTACTGGTACGTTTAGACAAGACATTTTTAATTTTAAATTATTAAAGATTTATTAGAATTATCATTGATAAAAATTTGTCGATAATAATGGAACATATTTTGTGTATTTTAAAAATCTTTCAGAATATTATTTTATTCCATTGTATGATATATTTTAGGTCCTCTCATGGTGATCACGCAAAAAGTAACGAGTCTAGCGTATAGCATACATGATGGATTGGCCCGCAAAAAGGAGGATTTAACACCATTGCAACAGCAACAAGCTGTCTAGTGAGTGCACGCGTTTTATAATTAAACCGAGTCCAAGAAATACTTAGGATGTGGAACTAAACGAGGAAGAGCTTCATCGCGTTGGTTAGACTTAAATCCCAGTCTTTCACGCATATTTATGTGATGATATATATATATATATATTTATATATATATGTATATATATATACATGTGTGTGTATATATATATATATTATATATATAGAGAAGCATGATAATTAAGCATGGCTTTTAGTTGACCTTTTTTTTCTCCCTTCTTTTTTCCTGGTTTTCTGTTTTCTTTTTTTTTTTTTTTTTTTTTTTTTGTTTATAGGTTTTTTAGGTGACACGATATTTTATCGCAAAATATGAATGACGCTAAAGCTCTTGCTCTCTTATATTAAATTGTTAGTAATTAATATCGAGAGGAATGCGTAAATATATATATATATAAACGTAGGAAATTTTGACCTCATACATATAGTTAATGCTTACGTTTTGTTTTTTGTTATTTTTTGTTTGATTTTATTTTTTTTTGTTTGATTTTTTTTTTTTTTTTTTTTTTTTTTTTTTTTTTTTTTTTTTTTTTTTTTTTTTTAATATACTTTGCACACATGGGAATATATATATAATAAAAATATGTAATTAAAAAAACGAAAGTAGAATCGTCATTGTTCATGATTTTGATCTTTTATTGTAATACTTGCATTGGCATGCACATTTGTCTTATGATTAGTAGCTATCTTACATTTGACTTAGTACAAAGTGATTTAGCTCTTTTTTTTCTCATTTTACTTTTCTCATATTTTATATATATATATATATATATATATATATATATATATATCGTTCTTTTTTTTACACTTCATTCTCTATAATTATACTTTCGGAGTAATAGTTTTTTGGATTAAGTAGATAATACAAAGAAAAAAAAAATAGGCAGAGGGGAATTAATAGAATACACAAACACACACCCACACACACACACACACCACATATGTATAAATATACATATACACACACGTCTCTTCTTTATTTTATTCTAGTAAAATGCCAACCATGACGGAGTACTTCAGTTATGTCTTTCACTTTCAAGCTCTAATGGCGGGTCCAGTAATATTTTATCGTGACTATATTGACTTTATACAGGGGGATCATTTTAAACATGCTACTAAATCGTTAACAGTAAGATCATTGTCTTTTGAATAATACATAGTGTGTTGAAAAAAAGAGAAAAAATAAATAAATAAATAAATAAATAAATAAATAAGTAAATAAAGTAAAATAAAATAAAATAAAATAAGAAAAAAGAAAACAAAAATAAAAAAAAAATAAAAAAAAAAAAAGAAAAAAGAAAAGAGAGAGAAAAGGAAAACCCAAGGAGACGTGAAATTATTAACACGGTATATTATATTTTCAGAATCAGAATAATCAGAATTCGGAGGAGAGTATTAATGAGATTAACTTGGAACCATCTCTGAGGAAAATTGTTGTTAAAAAAGTGATAGCCAGTTTAATATGCGCTGCTTTCTTCGTTTCCTTCCTTTCATCGTTCTCGATTCAAAAAATAAAAGGTGATTATGGTATTTAAAATATATATATATATATATATATATATATATATATATATATATATATTTACACACATACAGACACATTATTTCCTTTAATAAGTTTCACATATTTGTTCGTAATGAATACTTGGTAATTTTTTTATTGTTTATTTATTTATTTATATTTTTTTGTTTTAGACAAAGAATTTTTAGAAGAGACAACGATATTATACAAACTGTGGTATATATACGTAGCGACTATGATGGTTCGTTTTAAATATTATCACGCATGGATCTTCGCCGACGCCATTTGTAATAATTCGGGACTTGGTTTCGATGGGTATAAAGAAAATGGTGAACCTCGTTGGGATAAATTCGCCAACGTTAATGTTATTAACTTCGAGGTAATCCACGCATAAACGAATGCACAGTAACAATTTTATAATTAACTCTTTGAACGTTGAATATATAATAATTTCCGGTGCAAATAATCGTTAACCAATCCATTTTCGATTCATTAAGAATGGAATACTTTTTTCGTTAATATTAACTCTATCGATTGAATATGTCAATTAATTATATAATATAAGAATTAATTAATTATTTTACAATCAAAACATTAAAATATAAATCATATCTTAAGTTGCAATTGTTTCAAACGCGCGCATGCGTGCGCACGCGAGAGAGTTCGAAAAAAAATTGCCAAACGCATATATGCGCCCATAGTCCAGAGCGATCGCTTTGGACAAACGCATATATGCGTCCATAACAATCAAAGGGTTAATAATATCATAATTTTTTTTTTTTTTTTAGATACAAAATAATCTTTCTTTTCCACGTTTCTTATCAGTTTATAACTTTTCTTTGATATTCGTTCGTAGACTTCGCTCAGCTTGAGAGACAGTATAAATAATTGGAACATGGGAACCAATAGATGGCTGAGATCTATCGTTTACGATAGAATGAAAAAACAAAGAATGATATTTACGTATGCCTTGTCGGCTCTATGGCACGGTTTTTATCCTGGTTATTATCTTACATTTGCCAATGGAGCTTATTTTACGTTAGTGGCTCGTATTGTAAGTACATATGTATATATATATTTATTTATTTATTTATTTATTTATTTATTTATTATTGATAAATATATAGAATGTGTCAAAGATATTTTTTCGAGATAGGTCAAAAGAGTTCCTAGGTGATTTTGAAAATAGATTATTCATTTTTTTTTTTATACCCCCTTTTTTTCAGCTAATTTTTTTTCCTTCAGAATTTTTTTCAATCGTTTACTTCCTAAATTCATTTAATATTCTAATCTGACGAAAAAAGAGAAATACGCTTAAGACATTTTTAGACCATCCTGTGTTTCTCGACACGTCGATTCCTTTTTTTTTTTTTTTTTTTTTTTTTTATATATACATTCGTAATATAACTTCATTCTAATTGGATAATTTCAATCGTTATAACAGAATTGTTTTTGTTTGTTGATTTTAGGTTCGCCGTTATGCTAGGCCGTACTTTTTGGGCACGAAAAACATGAAACTCTTTTACGACGCAATAACGTTTCTCGCAACCCGAATCACTATAGCCTACATAGCATTTAGTTTCGTTCTCTTAGAGTTCCTACCAAGTATTCAATTGTACCTGTAAGTTATTTTATTATTTCATCGATCGATAATAATTCAATGAAATTTGCAGAATATAATTTTGATGGTTTTTTTTGTTTTTTTTTTGTTTCACAGGTATATGTACCTGTTACCACATTTATTGGGATTGGCAGCTATAATTATTTTACCACGTTTACCACGTCTTCCAGAGTCAAGAACTTCCGAGAAAAATTCTTCCGAGAAAAATTCTTCCGAATCTGCGAACGTTCGCAATGGAAATTTACACAAAACTATGTGAGAATGACGAAAGTATCATAACAGTCATTATATTAAATGACATATATATATATATGTATGTATACATATATATATATATATATATATATATATATATATATATACATATATATATGTATGTATAGATATACACATACACATACGTACATATTTTTTATTACTGTTTTTAATACATACGTACAATATTTATTGTTATAAACTGGTAGAAATTCTATAATTGCATGTAGTAATAAAAGAAAAAGCTGGACAAATAATGTATATATATATATATATATATATATATATATATATATATATATATATTATGTATATATATAATGTATATATATATACATAAATGTATATACAGAGTATTTACAATGAAACGGCTAAATTTTTGTTATCTTATCACTCGTGAAATTAGAGCGATTTCATTGTAGACAATTTGTATATGTATACGTATATACATATAGCTCTATATATATATATAAAAAAATATATATATATATATACAAACACATACAAGCGCAAATATATATATATATATATTACGTATGAATGAACATTTTTGTATATGTGGATGTTACAAATATGAAGAGAGTTATGCAATTATATTTTAATGGCGGATAAAGAACCTTTTGTCAGGTGGAAATATTACAGATTTTATATAACTTGTGTTAATATATTCCGTTGTTTTTTTTTTCTTTTTTCTTTTTTTTTTTTTTTTTTTTTTTTTATACATTTATCGTATTCTCCTAATATCTTCCATGCGTCTCATGGAATCCACGATAATCCTGTGATCCACTATACTATAACAATAATCCTGTATGTTTATAAATCCGTATTAATATTTTATGAGTTGTTGATATTAAAACTCGGACAAAGTCCATTTTATGTTATTGATGAAATATTTAATGATTTTCATTGTAACGTAAATTAAAAGTATTACTAAACAAATTTATTTTATATTTTTTCGTGATCTTATTTCACGTAAATTTAATATACGTATTAATGATTATTCCATGTTGGATGGAATAAAAATCAATTTTGATTTTATATAGGACTTCGTTTCATTTTCAAAAGCAATGATTCGTTGAAAACAATTTGATTTTCTTCGAATTAAATATAATTATAATAACAAAAATATTGAATATATTTTCTTTATTTACTTATTTTTCTTTTTTATTTCAATATTTCATATTTCTTTCAAAAAGTTACGATAAAACTAAAAAACAAAAAAAAAAGGAAAAAAAAGAAACAAGCAAGAAAAAATTAGTAAAGAAAAAAGAAAAAAATTGATAAGCAGTGATAGACTTATTTGATATTTTTTGTTCTGATCATATCTCATATAAATTTGATATATGATTAATGAAAAAAAAAAAATTATGATTTTGGTATGAGCCAATGAACTTTGATTTCATTTTCAAAATCAACTCGCAATAAATATCATTATCGAAATATATTACTAGTAATAAATTTATATTGATATTAAAAGATATTTATTGTGAATTGATTAAAAAACATACATTTTATGTTAATTTACGATAAGATTTAACTAATTATTTTAATTAGTTATTCTAATTTAATTAATTTTTTTCACAAAATGGACTATCAAAAGTTCATTTTCAAAATCAACAGCTCATATATATATTTTTTCTTTTTTTTTTTTTTTTTCAATATAATGCGTTAAATTTAACATATTTAAATGTTACATTTATCATTTTCAGATATTATTTCTCCTTATCTTTTTCTTTATCCATCTCGCAGAGTTGGGGAATTAGAATTTATTTATATTAATTTTCTCTGTTATTATTTATTTTATTATTAAACGGATACGAATATAATGAGATGATATCGAATGCGTCATTTAAATGAAAACAATTAAACATTTATTTTATTTATTCGTTTTATGAGAAAAGAACATCTGTATTTCTCTTTACATGAATTAATTCCGCGTGTCATTTTGAATACGAAACAAAAAAAAAGAGAAAAATAAATTATTAATACGCGAGATATATTTTGAAAAAAAAAAAATGTCTGTTGATTCATTTTGTAACTGAACATTGAAAAAAAAAAAAAAGAAAGGAAGAAATAAGCAAACCTTGTCTTGTTTTTTTTTCCTTTTCTTTTTTTTTCTTTTTATCGAAATTAACACGTTCCGTGCCATGTGTACCACCGGTGGTACACGTTAAACGATCTTCGGGTCACGTGTACCACCGGTGGTACACGCAGTCATTTTTTTTCTTTAGTCAAAATATCAAATGGCCCTGAACGACAAGTCCAGGCAAAAATGATTTGCCACGGAACGTGTTAAAAATATCGCCGATATTTATTTGAACCGCGTATTTACGATATATATATATATATATATACACACATGTATATAAAAAATATTCGAGCATTTCAGTTCGATCCGATTTTTTTTTTTATTTTCATTTCTTTTTTTCTTTTTCTTTTTTTTTTTTTTCCTTTTTTTTCCTTTTTTTCCTCTCTCTTTCTTCGACTATAATGCTCAGCGAAATTCATTAAAGAATAAAAAGGCTTATTCTCTTTACGCAACTATTTTCGTTTGAAAATGAGCTAATGGAATATCGTAGCATTTAATCGCGTAAAGAGAAGCACTGTAAATCTTTACGCATCTTTGAAGCCCTATCCCGTACGATAATACTTCTAACCAAAATGTGTACTAGGGCAGTAGTAACTAGTTGACTATCATCAGTCAATGTGAATATATCAGTTGGAGCATACTTTTTGGCCCTTCGAGGTGTACGAAAGCGTGTTGTCCAGTTTAAATCATTAACAAGTGATCTCTGATATAGCAGGAGTTACCCAGACAATATGGTAACGATTAAAATTATCACTTTGATATTCAATTATCATTCAATGTTTTCTATCTTCGAATTATATAATCGATTCATTGGAAAATTATAAATTCGATCGTTTTTATTTAACACGTTCCGTGCTCAAGTCATTTTCCCTAGGACTTGTCGTTCAGGCCATTTGATATTTTGAAAAAAAAAAAATGACTGCCATCCGTCATTGTACCACCGGTGGTACATGTGGCCTGAAGATCAAGTTTAACGTGTACCACCGGTGGTACACATGGCACGGACCGTATTAATTTAGATTTTTATTTTATTCCAAGCTTTAATACTTATTAATTTTGATCTTGCACATCTCATAAATAATATCAACATGTGCACTTGTGATAAGTAAATTGAAGGTATATGCGTTTTACAAAATCTTCTTAGGCAATTTGAACAAATCTCGTTATTTATGACGGAATTAATAATTTTCACTACAAAATGAAGAAGAAGAAGAAAAAAAAAAAAGAAAAAAGAAAAATACTGTACATTCTTTGAAGCCTCGTAAATAATAATAATAATCAGATATAGATTTGAAAGAGGCATTTGCAATTGTGTCGTTATAAAAAAAAAAAAAAAAAAAAAAAAAAAACAAATTCATGAATTCATGCAATGCGCAAGTTATTTTGATTTACCTCAAAGTTGAATCTACACGTGCAAAATTAGGAACGTATAATAATAATAATTATTATTATTTTTTCTGTTTGTAAACGGAAGTAAGAAAAAAGAAAAAAAAAAAAAAAAGAAGAAAAAAAATTAAAAGGAAAAATATCGTTTAATAACAAGATAAATGATCGATCGATATTAAAGATTATAATAGGCGAATAATTTTCAGAATTTATTGACTTTCATGAAGCTGGGCTACGCGATGCTAATAGTGACTCTATTATTGATGATTTGGTCTTCGATGGTTCGAACCCATGAATTACCAGTTCAATATCCACCATGTTTCTTCAATCCCCTTTGTACCTGTTCAAAAGCAATACCAGATCTTGGAATAGTTTCTTGTTACAATGTACCAATGCCAAGAATACCACAGCCTATTAATTCATCGAAAGTATTTATGCTCCAATTGGAAAACAATGGACTGACCTTTTTGCAACCGCAGTTTCTCATAAATACAGGTATAAATAAGGAAAAAAAAAAAACGAAAAAGAAGAAGAAGAAGAAGAAAAAAATTATATTTTAATTTTTCTTCGTATAAAATTAATCTTAACCATTAATAATTTCATTATGAATTTTCGTAATAATATTAAATATATATATATATACATATATATATATACATTCATTGTTCGAACAATGTCAAATGCAATTCGTATTCCTAAGGTCTTTACAAGTTACAAATCAAACATAATCCCTTGGCCGACATCCCGGACGAAGCTTTCCTAGGGCTTGAGAGATCGTTATGGGAATTAGAATTACCCTACAATAGACTTTTCAAAGTACCCAACAAATCATTCAGACATTTGCAAAAATTACGTTTACTCGATTTAACAGGTATTATTTCTTTTTCATTCTCTTATATTTCCCTTTATCCTCTTAGCATTATCTCTCTCAATTAATAAATTATACTTATGAAAAAAAAAAAAAAAAAAAAAAAAAAAAGAAAAAAAAAAAGAAATTAAATATCTTTATTAATAAAATATATTTCTTAGGTAATAAAATATCGAATATAGCGCCGGAACATTGGAGAGGTCTTGAGGATTCATTACAAATCTTACGTCTTGGTCGTAATGCGATCGAAAAGCTTCCGGCTGATGCATTTGCCGGTTTATCGTCATTAGAAATTCTTGATCTTCGAGAGAATACCTTGAAAGAGATCGATACGTCCGTATTTAGAGATGGCATGGCTAAATTGACACATTTATATTTGAATGATAATCAACTGGTTTATATACCGTACGCCCAATTGTCCTCGTTAAAACGTATGAAGGTCCTTGATCTAAGCTACAATAGAATATCCAAAATGTTACATCCACTTCAAGAGCCCGAATTAAGGGGCGTACAAATGTCCTTGGATATTCTTAGATTGGATTATAATCAGATTGCAACATTAATGCCTACGGATTTTCAACATTTTTATAAAGTCAATAAGACTTATCTCAATGGCAATCCCTTGGCCGTGATCGAGGTTAAATCCCTTTTTTATCGATATAATACAAAGAGTGGTATACAGAAAAAAAAAAAAAAAAAAAAAAAAAAGAAAATAAATCTTTCTGACAAATTATAAATATATATATATAGCTTTTTTT